CTAATGTAACATTTGCGAATTAAGAACGGCTTCAGTAAATATCCCGTTCCCTTTCGATTTGCTTCTCAGTTGCCTGACCGTAATCATTTTGGCCTGTCTCCTAAGGGCAGACACACTGTGCATTTCTATTCATGAGCAGGAGTAGTGAACAGAAATGCACAGCGGGAATTGAACTCGACTCGCTGATTCCACTTATCGAACCAATAACTGTTACACTACACGCGCCTCCTTTCAACAACAGCAACAACTAAGATGGACATATATTTACACTATTTAAATCGTTCGGACTGTTGTCCTCATCTTTATTGCCATATTCACGACGTTTCGGCCGTTGTACGCTCCGGCCTTCTTCAGGTGACATACGTTGGAATTTTGAACCGGTCTCTTCATTTAGTCCACGGGCGTAAATTGTTCTAATTCTATGTGCTATGCCTTTTATGGATATCTCAGTTTCAGTTAATTCTCTTAAGTAACTCAACTCCCCAATCCACTGGGCAATGTGTGACGGAGGCCGGAGCGTACAACGGCTGAAACGTCGTGAATATGGCCAAAAACTGGGGACAGCAGTTCGAACAATGTAAATAATGTAAATAGTTACAATACCTCAGCTCAGAAATATAGACAAATCCTGAAGAAGCCGGAGCGTACAATGGCCGAAACGTGGTGAACATGGCAATAAAGATGAGGACAACAGTCCGAACAATGTAAATAATGCATCTTAGAAATATAGACAGAATTTAAAGTGGGTAGCACGTGTAACTCGAAGAGAAAATAATGATATAATGAAAAGGTTGAAGATTCACACGGCTTCAAACAAAATTTTAGGAAGAAAGTGCTCATCACTACTGGAAAGTGCAATAACAGTTACTGGACTTTCCTGAAAAAGTTGTTTTAAGATTTTATGAATTTCAACGAAAGTATCAGAGGCTGCTCGGTTAATGAATGCTGAATGTTTCCTTATAAGGAAACGGCTAATATTAGCATTATCTTCTAAATTCCCTTACGTAAAATATATGCAAATAATAAAAAAACAACAGCCATGCCTAATGTAACATCAGGATATTTATTATGAACAGGATTATTTTTTATGCTATTATTGCTATAGTTATTTCATAAATATCTTTTCACATTCACTATCTCTGTTATTGCGGTTTTCTTCTTTTTCTTCTTACTGTCTGGCAGATTATTCCAATGCTTCTCCGATTCCTGTGGTCATAACACTGGACTTTTTTTTTCTTTTTATTTACAACTAAACAAAAAATCGCCCGCCCGTTTGCCTGGGAAACAAGATCTGGGCTAAAAGCCGTTGCTCTTCACAAACACAGATTGTCTTGGACACAGATGTGGGCGTTTCCCTTAACAATGACACAAAGAACCAACACATCAGACCAGTGATTCGAGAAATCTGAGATTCGGACCAAAAAATAAACACACAGAGACCATTCATGTTCATTTCATTGCACTGTACTCTGTCGCAGCACCGCAAAAATAAGATATTCTATATTGCCAGATAACTCAAGAACAGTTTGATGTATGATAATAAATCAAAGTTGCTAGAACCACATCTCTCATAATGCATATATAATATGTATATACTTTTATATATATATATATATATATATATATATATATATATATATATATATGTATGTATGTATGTATGTATGTATGTATTATTATTATTTTTATTATTATTATTATTATTATTAAATATAACAGACAATGAATGTCTATTATGTCTGATCATGAACCTTTAGAATGTTGGAATGTTTACTTTAATTTCTGATAAAAATAAAGACAAAAATTGTTTAACATTTGGATATTTTTTTGTTAAGTTTGTCCTAAGCTTTCGGCTCACATTCTCAGCCATCCTCAGTGTGATTATACAGTCATGAAACAAAGATATCCACCGTCAAAGATGATAATTTATTATTTTAACGTAGAAAATTGCTGTGACGACAACGGTCGCGGAATATCAGACGCAGATCGTAAGTTCAAGATCCGGTTCTATAACGTCATATATATATATATATATATATATATATATATATATATATATATATATATATATATGTATATATTTTCCTCACTGGTAACAGAACTCTGAAGTCCATACACAACGCAATCTTCGTGTGCTAAAACTAACTGTTGCCTAATTTAAAATTTGATATATATACCACATTATAATACTAGTGGAGCAGTCCATATAATTTACAAGCTTTCTTTTGAACAAACCCTGTAAATAATAATCCTCCACTCGAATAATATGCTCTGCTCAACCATATCAACAGTGTTTGTATGTTGCAGGATAACTTGATAGAACCCATTCTTCTTGAGGATCGTTCTGAATTCAGAGATTCCGGAATTAAGAAAGGTGGTTTCATTCATTTTCAAAGAGCTTTCGAAATTAACAAATAGACTTCGTCAGAATTTTCATTCGGTACACTGATTCCTTTTTCAGTGCCGATAACCGTTAAACTGCCGGCGCGTCCACTTCAAAATCTACTACTATAGCTATTCATTTTCAAGCTATTTATGAAAGCATAGCCGAGTGGTTAGAACGTTGGCGTCTCTAGTGTGAGATCCAGGTTTGAATCTCACCGTGGGTGAATTGTCTAGACGATGACTAATTGATAATATCCTCATGGGAAGTCGACGCCAACGTGCGGAACCGTTGTCCGGGAAACCATACCACGGATTGTTCCAAGTCTTCTGTGTTGATTGTCTGATTTGCCATGTTATGTCCACATGATCTAATCACCCGCATTTCCTTCGTATCCCAGTTGTAAAAGAAGGTTCCACTTAGACAACTCTTCCTAAGAATCGCCAACCTGTGGTACAGGCTCACGCGGGGGTGCTTCTTTGATTCTCGTCAATCGTTATCCATCCTACATATCCTCATAATCTTCACTTCCTACCTCCTCCTTTTACATTCATTCACATCACACACCTCATTCAGTCGCTTTTTACCTTGAGTGGAGGCTTAAGGCCATATCAGGTTCAAACAAACTTTCCCATACGATCACCAAAGTTAAGCAACGTCGAGCCTGGTCAGTACCTACATAAGTTAACGTTTAGGAATACCATGTGTTGTAGCTTGGATGAATGGATTGTGTGATGGATAATGGCTCGGAATTGTTAACCGGAGATCCGAGTTCCAATCCCAGTTGTGTTCGTTTTATTCCCTTCCGCGCAAAAAACCTTTGGGGAAGTATATAAATCCACCTCTTCTCCCATCCCCCAGCTATGGGTTAATTAGTAAGACTTGTATCATTAAACCATTATTATCTCTAAAAAATTTCTTACAATCTAAATATATTTTCACGCTTTAAATAACCTTGAAAAGGGTGATAAGTCGTAAAAATGTATCATTTAATCAATCTATCTTGAGTGGCTCTTGGGCTTTGTACTGAGTGAACATTAGTTTAAAAGGATATCGGATAGTAGAATTTGTAATTCTGATAATTTAATTATGGGAACCTATTTGCCGTTCCTTTTCTTATTCATTTTTATACAAGTGTTTCAATGTAGACATTTTTTCACGCCACCAAGAACAAATTAATTTTTGTCTGTTGTTATCTGGAACGATCACGAATGGATTCTCAAGTGCATACCGACTTTTGCTTTTTATTTTATTAATATCTTCTTCTTCACACAAAAATCTATTTACGCAAAATGCGAACACGTGCCTTTCTAAAGTAGCGACATTGTATGTACAAGTGTGTGTAAGTGAATATGCATGATTACTAAACATTAGTCAGTTACAAGTGTTACTTATGTGTATATCTACCTACATAAGAAATTGAAAACATTGATCAACCTGTTCATCTCTCATATTACTCAGTGTTTTTCGTGTCTGGCCAGACGTTTTACACCTCCCCCGAAGTCATTCCACCAGGAAATAACCTTATTTTCTGATAATTCTTCTTTTCTTTGGGGAAACAAGTTCGTGCCTTAAGTCGAATTTTAATATATGTCTATGCATATTCGTTTTCTATGGGTTATTTTGCAGGTTATTTAAAGCCAGAAAATATTTTAGATTGTAAAAAACGTGTTGAGGGGTAATAAGGATTTAAATATTACTAACTAGCAGCATGGCCCGGCGTTGCCCGTGCTTGATTCAAAAATCGTACGACTCATACAGCAATCGCTATCACTTGACTTAAAATATTTTTGCCCTTCCTTGCCTTTAAAGGAGTGCGCTTTACCGTGCTGATATTGATACATGCCTTACTTCTTGCCTATCTCACACTGCGATTTTTTTCTAAGCTCTAAACTAAACATTAAATCTGTTACGAAAAAAGAACTAAACAAAATGAACACAAAACGATCAGCTTTAAAAAAGGACTCGTAACTGGAAAAACTGAATGGAAAAAAAATGTTAACAACAAATACTTTTTCACACCCAACCCAGTTCTGCGGAATCTGAATCAACGTTGAGTTTAAGCAAGCAAATGAGCCAATTGGAGTAAAGTGCCATGCTGATTTAAATTTTTCCCACTTGTGACGAATGCAGCTATCGATTTTTTTTGCATGCTAGTTAACATTCGTGTCAGTCAGCTGTTGGCTCTCACGCTGGCCAATAGAATCTTCCTGCTTATTCGTGGCAGCCAGCTATAGGCTCTCAGTCTGGCTAGTAGAAAATGGCCGAAAACTACATGAAAACTGCCGCAGAAGCATGAAAAAATCGTTTATTTCCACTATCTATGGGAGTTGGGAAATGCAAAGTGGGTCTTGGCCTTTCCATTAACTTGGAGCATGTGCATGTAAATTTTGGCGCAAATCCGTCGAAAATTGCGGCCGTGCATTCGTTACATACACACACATCCTGCCTTTTATATATAGAGATTAATCCATAGCTGGGGGCGAAGAGATGGATTCATACCTTTTCCAAGGATATTTGCGCGTAAGTGAATATAACTAACCCAATTGTAATTGGAAATCGATATTCCCATTAACAATTCCGAGCCATTATCCATTACACCACGACGACATCGAAGCTTACAACACGTGATATTCCCAAGCGGTTACCCATCTAGTTACTGACCAGATTCGACGTCGCTTAACTTCAGTGATAGTACGAGAACCGGTGTTTCAACGTGAAGTGGCCATAAGGCATAACGTTATGAAAAGTCCAGAGTGAACCAGTCAACTTAAGTAGTATTAAGTTATTTATGACCGACTCGTAGAAACGTATTGGCTGCATTCTTAACCATATAACACAGGGCGTTCCAAAAGTCTTGGGAACATTTCAAGTCCTCATATCTGCTGAACTATGAATGGTAGTAAGATGAAACTGGTACCATTTTAAAGCTAAATTCATTAAGTCTTTTGTAATGCTAATGATTTTTTCATATTTTTTCAGATCCAGTAATGGCGTTCACTCAACCAGAAAAGGCGTTTTCCGTTCTTGAATTTGTAAAAATTGAATCATGGACACTTGTTCAACGTGCATTTCGCACAAAATTCCGAAAAGAGGGACCAGAAAGGAAGTCCATATTGAGATGGCATGATAAATTCATGAAGAATGGGTGTTTGTGCCCAGCTAAGAGAACGGGAAAGCCCCTCAACTTCAGATGATACGGTTGAGAGATTTCGAACGGCCTTCGAACGGAGCCCCCGTAAATCAATCAGAAGAGCCAATAAGGAATTTCAGCTTCGTACAACAACTGTTTGGCGTGTCTAAAAAAGACGACTGCACATAACACCTTAAAAGCTACAGTTAACCCAACAGTTGCAAGACACTGATAAACCAGCTCGTCGTGACTTTTACAATGCTGGGACGCGTTTGGCATGAATTGGACTATCGGCTTGATGTGTGCCATGTGACCAACGGTGCTCATATTGAACATCTTTGAACATTCTATGTAAAACTTGAGATTAAATTTTCAGAATATGTCAGCCACGTTTTTATATCCTTAATAGTTTTCGAAATATTCAATGTCAAAATGTTTCCAAGACTTTTGGAACACCCTCTAGTTGTGTCTTTCATTATGTTATCATTGAAGAACTGCTGCCCCTACTATCTGTGTCATATCGTTCAAGAAACTCTTGGGTAGGAAACACCCTTCGCTTCTTTTCGGAATCAGAATCCTGAGAACGCATTCTGTACATACGTTAAAGTAGCCAAGAGTCTGCAGTAAATTGTAGGCTCACCCGAATGATTTCACAGGAGTTAGATTTTTTTTTAAGCGTTTCACCCCAAGCAAGGCGGGAAGCCACTAGGACGCAAGGGGTTACAGAAAATTTAGAGCAAGATCAGATAGGAGTGATAGAGGAAAGGACGAGGAGAAGGATAGAGGATAGATCAAGGCAACTGGATATGTCTATTGACATTACATTTGAATAGCTGGAGATTATAGCTCTCAGGGAAACTGGAATAGGGAAGGGAGTTCCACAAGCGAGAGGTGAGAGACATTAAGCTATTGGAGTAGAAGAGACGGCTACATTTAGGAGTTTCGACAGTGAAGGGGTGAGAGCGGAATGCCAGCCTCGTAGGGCGCTTGAACTCATGAAGTCTGGGAACCAGCGAATGCAGCTCCTCGGAGCAATTGCCATGAAAGTATTTGTCGAACAGACAGAGAGAGGCGACGGCGCGTCTGTGAGAAAGTGACTTTAGACGAGATGCCAGAGCAGGGCCAATTTAACAAGACAAGTCTATTTCGGTAGCAAAGAGTTCTGGATGGATTTTTGGAGTGCATTATTGAAAAAAAAACCGTTGTTGGAAATTGTCAAGATGCTTGAATCTATGGTAGCCAATTGAAAAGACTTCTGATGAATCGGTCCATTTCGATAATATTTCTTGGGTTGAATGATTTCGACGACATTGAAAAAAACAAACATGACAAACAGCAACAGCAGCAATCATCAACCATCAGGTTAGGGTACCAAAGAAAATGGACCTACTGGACAATATCCTAGTGGATTAAAGTAGGGCAGTATGTACTTGAACTTAGTGGAAATATAGCGAGCAATAACTGAATAGTACTAAAAATAAGATATTATTATAGTAATTCATCGAGTCTAGAAAAATCCTAAACAGAATGCAGAAAGCACTAGACGGTCGTTTCGTCTTATTTTTGGGACTCATCAGCAGTGGACATCCACTACCGGGGTTCGAACCCGTTTTGATATAACGCAAGCATCATACCAACTGTACCAACGGGCCTCGATGACGAAGAAGAAACTGAATAGACTCGATATAGCGCGGCTACTCATAAATTGCGTGGTGATACCCATCCAAGTATTCTTAACCCAACGGATTCTGTCCCAAGAGCCACGACTCTCCTATCCCCCAAACCGCTCCATCGCAGAGTATTAGCTGGGTCAAGCAAGGATATACAAGTAATAGAATTTTGGGGATTTATGCAAATCTTTATAGTAATTCATCAAGTTTGGAAGAATCCGCAACTGAATGTAGAAAGCACTGGACGGCCGTTTAATTCCTATTTTTTAGACTCATCATCAGTGCGCATCCACTACCGTGATTCGAACCCGAACCGTTTCGATATATATATATATATATATATATATATATATATATATATATCGGAGGCGGATATGTAATATAATTGGCCCTGATCTGGCATCTCGTCTACAGTTGCTCTCTCACAGACGCGCCGTCGCCTTTCTCTGTCTTTTCTACAAATACTTTCATGGTAATTGCTCCGATGAGCTGCTGTAACTGGTTCCCAGACTTCATGAATTCAAGCGCCCTACGAGGCTGGCATCCCGGTCTCACCCTTTCACTGTAGAAACTGTTAAATGAAACGGCCTCATCTACTCCAATAGCTTCATATCTCGCACCTCTTCGCCTGTGGAACACCCTCCCCTATTACTGTTTTCCTGGGAGCTATAATTTCCAACTATTCAAATGTAATGTCAATCGACATCTCCAGTTACCTTGATCTATCCACTATCCTTCTCATCCTTTCTTCTATCACTCCTATCTGCTCTCGCTCCAAATCTTCTGCAACCCCCTGCATCCTAGTGGGCTTCCCGCCTTGCGCGGGCGTAATGCTTAATATATATATATATATATATATATATATATATATATATATATATATATATATATATATATATATGTATACGAGATAACCTTAGATATAATACTGGACTGCCGTTTCGTCCTATTTTTAGACTCATTATCAGTGCGCATCGACTACCGTGATTCGAACCCGAACCGTTTCGATACGTATATATATATATATATATATATATATATATATATATATATACGAGATATCCTTAGATATAGGCAGTGGAAAGAGAACATTAAATAAACGCTTCAGTTCGAAATTACCTATAGATTATCCGGATCGAAATAGAACTAATGAAGGCAGGTGGGCACAACGGCTGAAATTTTGTGATAACAACAACAAAGATAAGGATAATAGTCTAAATATAAATAGTGTAAATGGTATTGGAAAAGTTGTAGCAGCGGATGATTCTACTTCCAGATCATCAAAGGAGGATTACAACCATTTGGGGGCGTACAACGATTTTTTTATGTAATTATTCGGTCCTCACTGTGTGAACCAAAATTGTAACCATGTTGTTGACTAACTTCACTAAATATTTCAAGGTGTCTACTAAAGTACAACGGTTTGTTTATTTCGTTAATCGATCCTCACTGTGTGAACGAAAATTGTCACCTTATTCTTGATTAATCTTAGTAAACATTTTATCGTGTCTCCCCGGATGAAATGGCTCGACTGTTTTGCAAGTGTAGTAAGATGAAACTTAATCGAATGATTCAAGATTAATGGGTTTTCTGCAAGACTGTCCTTACCAAGGGAAATAACTGTTATTTACCTAAATTATTTAACGGTTATATTACAAACTAGATGATTCTTCAATATCCTTTCAGTTTAAACGCTAAAAATGACCTTACTTTCAAATTTTAACGAGAAAATTATTAAATTGTTTTTCATTGCTTTCAATTATTTGTCATTTTTGTTTGTTTCTTCGCTTTACGCTGCATGGAGAGCTTCTTTTTTTTTAATCAAGAGAAACAAAATTGTAAAGAAAAGAATGAGAGACATAAAAGAGAAAAGAAAAAAAATGCTTTTTTTAAAATTTATTGAAATTCCTAATTTTCGTTTGCACGAGACTTCATAATTTCTTTTATTCACATTTCATATGGTTTATACGACTTCGGAATTATCCTATTAATTTTACGCCCCATAAAAAGGAATTAATATTGCAGTAAAGCTGTCTCTACTTGCGGGACGTTCATCAGAACTAATTTAATTCTATCGAATTGGTGAACCATTTGATTGGCTAATATTTTGAATGACGTCAGTTTTGGCGCCATTTTTTTTTTTTTTTTTTTTTTTTGTAATTCGTATTATTTCCTGTTGTCACCAAACATGGAAGGTGTTTTTTCCTTTATTTTCATTTTATTTTTTAACATTATTTTCTATAAGCTTCCTCGTAATTACTGGAACAATAGAACGTTAATCTTTAAGTAAAAAATAAAAAATAAAAAGCGGATGATAGGTTTTTAAATAGGCCATTAATAAACCCTTTATCCGCGGTTACGCATTTCACAGTTTTATTTAACCGCAGCCAATCACAGAAATCATTAATTTATAAGGTTTACTCTATAGTGGCCGTCATAAAGCGCAAAAGTACAAGGTGAATATAAAAAAAGAATTCTTTTATATGAAAAGGTGAAAATTCTCGAAAGGCATGGTGTGGTTGATATGATTTACGGTAAGAGCAATTTTTTTATCCGTTGTATATATTTTATTGAGTAAAAGATCAAAATGCATATCAAATATGGATCGGAATGGAACAGGATGATAAGATAAAAGAACAAATCAGAAACGTATATCAAACGTATTTCACTTTTTTTAAAGCTTCGTCAGATATTGAGTGAAAGCAGACAAAAAGACAGAAAACACCGGTATTTTTCAATTATGTTTGGCTCAGTTCTCATTGGTCAGATATGTATCACGTGTATTAAAACCGTGAATAAGTCTATGTGTATGTAAGTCTGTGAAGATTCTTGTATGTCTAAATGGGCATCGGATGGTAATGTGTATTTTTAATTATGTGCGTGTGTCTGTCCAGTGAGGGTTTTATCTTTACCTTTGTAGGGTC